GACGCTGCAGCTCGGCATTTGGTGTGGAGTAAATAGTGACCGCCGTGGACTCTTGACAGTCTGGTGGAAGATCTAATGCTAGACGGAGATACTCTCAGCACCAGCTTGAAGCTTAATATTTTTTTTGGAATTGTATTGGCTCCAGGACGACCGTTGATGAAAGACTACAATGCGACGGGGGAGATGTTTATTCGGAGACTCGATGCTTACGTAAAAGGCCGGCAGCTTCTTAGAATTATTTTTAATTTAGCAGAGTACCAGGTGTACAAGCTTCATCACGAGGGTGTGTTCTTTCTTCATCAATGGAGGGACTATGAAGGAAAGGACACAGTCACTCTTATTGCAAAGTGAAAACTAAACGAAGCCCTCACTCAGATACTAAAAGTAGAACGGCGTGAGGCAGAAATGGAATTTACCATTTCCACTACGATCGAGGACGTACTGTTTAAGGGAAGAGTCCGCGTCAAGGAAAAGAAGCTGAACGACTTTCTTACGAGGGAACTGGACGGCAGGGGCGTTGTGGACGCCAATCGGAGTGTTTTGCTTAAGGAGTTTTTCAAGGATCACACGAAGTATATCCGCGATAAAGGAGCACTGAACGAAATACAGGCAACAGGTGCTTATGCGAGGATGGAGAGGACTGTAAGGGAGGAAATGATCTGGAAGAAGTTGTACGCAAGCTTTACAAAAATGGTATCAACAATCTACTTGGGTGGTCAGAAGCTGCCGCAAACGTAAAAACAACTGTTCATAACTCCACCAAACACTCCTTGGATTCAGCCCTTCAGGAAGCGAGGAACCGAATGACGACGATTGAAGCGGTAAAAATGGAGGGATTGTACGAGTCTGTGTACAATGCGAGTTGGCATCATGTCAAGGAAGTTCCCGACGGCGATAAGCGAAAGAAAAAGGGGACGGTAATGAAGGTGAAGGAGGGGAAACCGAAACAGTCATGGACGTACAAGAAAGTTGGCGACACCCTCGAAAAGGATGACGCTGTGCAGAAATCCGGTGAAGCACCTCCCGGCTGATGGTGCTTACCTCGGACAAGGGATGGCCGTACACGCTGAGTGTGCTGAATGGGTGTGGCAATGACTTGTGTGTTAACTCTGAGGTGGAGCGAGCGTGGCAGATCGTCAAGGGCGATCTCACCGAGTGGTTCAGCAATTTTGATTTGACTCTCAATCCTTCACCTTTGCCGCATCTGTTGGTTGGGACGGCCGGGATCGGGAAGTCGATGAATGCCGGCTCGTACCTCCTCTACCAGCTGCTGCACTACGACGTGGAGAAACTCCAAGTGGTTGTCCACTGTTTTGGAAGTACGGCGTACGTGTTTGACAAGACCACCAAAATCGTGACAAAATACATGGGTAACATAACATCCATCGTTGTTTTGGGTGGTTTGTGGCAGCGTGGGGTGAAAGGGTATATTATTTACGATGTGGCAAGGAAAGGAACACCGCCCGACACAGATTTTGCGCCTTCTAGTGGATGGGGCATGATTGTGGTGTCATCGCCAAAGGTAACCAACTATGATGAGTGGGAGAAGCAAACAAAAGCCAGTCGAATAATCATGAATTGCCCCGACGAGATGGATTTGAAGGCGATGTGTGCATGGATGAAGCGCGGTCTGAAACCAAATGAGCAAGCGGGATACTGGAAGAAGGTCAAAAAACACACGCAACTTTTGGGTTCGATTCCACGTCACATCTTTGATGAGAAAAGTTATATTGATCGCTTGGGTGCCGTTGATGGTGCCTTGCTGGCGATCAAACTCACTGATGTTGGAGAGTACTTTGCCCTGAGAGGAAGTAAGCTATGGTATTCCGAGGATCCGTCTCACAAACTTGTGAAGATCGTCCGGGTAAAAACAGTTGAAGGTGCTGAGTTATTTCTCAACGCATCGATATGTGATGATATCGGGTTTCGAATTGCGGACCGTTTGGCAAAGGAAATGGGTGCGAAGGATCTTTTGTTGCTAATATTGGGATCGCGTGGTGCTCTTGTTTCCCACGCTTTGGAACAATTAGGTTTGCGCGTATTCATGTATGGGGAGATTGTCAGTGCATTATTAAAGGAACTCAAGGAGCTGAGGCCACCAGAACGTAATGAAGCACGGGATTCAGTGCTGAAGGTAAACCATCAAGGGCACCCCACTCGCACCGTTGGATTAGCGGGACTGGAAGGCGGTGTCACGAGGACTGCGATGGAGTACGGGGTGCTGTACCTACCGAAGGTTGAAAACTTTCCGCTGGTGGACGGCTTTTTCTTCATGGAGTCACCGCGGAGGACGCTGGTTGGGCTGCAGATGACTACGGCGAGTGAGCACCACAAGATAACCAGCACTGTGAATCTGTTCAATGAACATCTGGCGGCATATTTTACGGGCTGGAAGAAATTATCCCGAGACATGTCGTGGGAGATGATTTATGTGCAGCACGAAAACAGCACACCGATGAATGACTGGCAGAGATGTGATGTCGTCAATCCCAACAATGAAACCGACGCTGAAAAAAAAATTGTGGCGTTCTGGGACGGAAAGGTACACAAATACCAGTTTATTTTAACACCGTATTTTGTAAATAAAATCTGAGAAAAGTGAACACAATAATCTTGTAGAAAAGGGATAGGGAAGAAAGTTGGGGAAATAATTGGGGAACAAAGTGCATTTTGCTTGTAGTGAAATATATTGGGAGTATTTTGACGATTTTTATATGTGTGTGCCTACGAGATCTAGACAGTGAGTGCCTTTCTTTTCAGAGAACCGTTGTGATCGGCAGTGCCACACTCACCACACACTTTTTATTTTATTTTTTCCACCAGAGGCGCATCGTCACTGGAGGCTGTTGCGCACTACAGGGGCCGCACAATTTTTTTTTATTTTTATGGGATTTTGTGAAAAGAATGCTTGAGAGGGCGGCGGGCTGCCCAAATAAATTCATATCTCGCACAAACGAAGATATCTCTCCACAACTTTTTCCTCTTCTATCGCACTGTCTTTTGGGAGACCGCGATTGAGGCAGTCAGGGAACCGACAGCTGCCAGACGAAATTGTTTTTTTTTTTTATTTTATTTTTGCCTTCCCACCCACCCACTTTGTGATCTCCTCCTTGCGGCGTTTTTTTTGTGGCTGGAGGAGCCCCAAAGGCCTGCCGCTTCGCGGGGGATAAGTGTTTCTAATTCTAACTGTGCGCAGCAGTCCACGGCAGTGATTGACGGAATGTGCATATATTTTGGGGAAAACATTACGGCGAACTCATTGCCTCTCCATTTACCGCTTTTTTTCTCCTGTCCTTTTTGGGTAGTTTCAGAATCCGGCCAGCGGCCCAGAAGATTATTCAGTGTTGTTTCCTTTTCGGTTCCTCTCCTCTTTTCTTTCTTTCTGTCTTTGGCCCTTTTCTCTGTGCACGCAACAAACACAAAGTTCAGCATTCAATGTGATATTCTCCCAATGGAGGCGAAAGCCGTTTCTGCTCCCACCAAACCACGACGCCGTCCTCGCAGCTCCCCGTGACAATGCGGGTGGACGGCAACACGGCGCAGTTGAATTGCCCCAGCCCCTGAGGGATGCCGGATTTGCGGTTGCTGAGGCCTTGTTTGACGTCGATGTGGCGTTGGACGTGCCGGACGCGAGTACACTCTTCCGAAAATTGTGTGCCACTGCCGCCCCCAACTTTACTCAGGAACGCAAGAACATGGTGGCCTTCAGCTACGGCGTGCGTTCTTCACCAAAGCGACAACACATGTACGGCTCTGCAGCTGGAGAGGGATATGCTGCTTGAGCCATCATTGAATCTATTCGGCTGGGCGCCAAAAAGGGCATTTTTGTCTTCTCATGCCACGTCATTGGGTCAACAGAGCACCGCGCAGACCTTCTTGACGCCGACAACGAGCTCGGGGTTATTGTGGGCTCCGTGAAGGAGGGACCTCGTGTGCGAATGGTGGCGCGAATTCGTGTCTCATTGGCCGGCGACGTTCGAGCGGCGATGGACACTATCGTCAAAAACTATGAGAAATACTTTTTCCCCGTGCTGTGTGAAAGGCAGCCAACGCCTGAGCTGGAGGCAATGCCTTCTTATTTGCCCGACACCGTCGTTCTTCAGCTTCACCGCGATGATGGTGAGGCGGAGTTTGCACATTATATGGATGCAAACTCCCTGACATTTGTCGCCTTGGGAGATGCCGAACGGCCCGCTTTCTGTGGCATTGATGCCGCCGCGCAGCTACACCACGAAGGGGCCCAACGAGCACTGGTGTCGGCAGCAGGAATTGTCTCCGGCATTTGCCGCCGTCGTCTGCGTGTTCCCTTCGGCATGTCAGAACTCAGTGAGTTGTTGCGCCGAGCGTACAATACGGAAAAAGGCAACCCCAACAACAGCCTCAATGGTTCTACCGAGACGGCTTTATTGGCTCACGCCTTTTTGGATGCCGTGTGCGCGGAGGAATCGTTCCATTGTCTCTCCACGACTCGTCGTGTTGGTAATATTCTTGGCTCGACCGGAATTGGATCCGCCACAAGGGATCTTGCCGTTGACAAGTGGCGTCTTGATCAGGACATCATGGAGTTGCGGGATGAACTCATGATTGCCCGGACCGTGTACGACCACAGGCATTGTGGCTATGAATCCAACAGGCCATTTCAGACATGGAGGATGAAGGGATGAAGCGCGTCAACGCCATTGAGAGCAACCGTGAGGAGGCGCGGGAACGGCAGCTGAGTGTGTTTTGCGAGCGCGCCGAGCATAAGGCGGAGAAGATGGCCAAAGAGCTTGAGCGGAGAGGTGGGGCCACGTTGGATGAAATTGAGAGGGCTCTGGAGGCGAAAAAGCGGGAGAGCAGTGCTCTGCAGGCTGACCGCGAAAGCCGCAATTGGGACCACGAGCATACGCTGGAGAAGATC